TGCATATCCCACAGATGCCTATTATGTACTCTATTTATATCAAAGTATAAAATATAGTAAAAAATTTACAGATTCAATACATTTAAAAGTGATAATAAAACAGTTATTCTGGCCTACTAAAACTGTTAAACTTCAAATTTTAGTCTCTTTATAAGAATATTGTAGTAGCACTGAATCTCTATATAAATCTGCTTTAATTTAGAGTTTTTTGAACTCACAACATGACGTGTCATCAGTGATAGAACGGTAACACAAATATTTTAGAGGCTTTTGCACAAAAATAATCCCCAAGTGATGAAATATCAGGACATTTCTTATGCTCATACTAAAAAATAGCACAAAAATGACTCTTAAAAAATTACCTTGGAAAGCTGGAAATGATGCAGTCAATATTTTACTTTGGAAATTGGTCAGTATGTATTGACAGGTTTATAGAACCTAATTTTTTTAAAGTGCAACACCAATCAATAATTGGCAAACAAAAGACAACTCAAGATATTAAGATGGGTGCAGTGGCTCACACCTGTAATCCCAGCACTTTGGGAAGCCCAGGCGGGCAGATTACTCAAGGTCAGGAGTTTGAGACCTGCCTGTCCAATGTGGCGAAACCTCATCTCTACTGAAAATACAAAAGTAGCCAGGTGTGGTGGTGGGTGCCTATAATCCTAACTACTCAGGAGGTTGAGGCAGGATAATTGCTTGAACCCAGGAGGCAGAAGCTGCAGTGAGCCAAGACTGCACCACTGCACACCAGCCTGGGCAATAGAGCAAGACACCCCTCTCAAAAAAAAGAGAAAAAAGATGTTAATTATTTATTCAAATTATAGCAAGAGAAACTTTAGTCTATGTGCAACAAAAGGAACTTTCATAAAATTAATGAAAAACATAGCATAAATTATCTTTAGGATATATTTTTTATAAAATCACTTAAGTTGAACATTTAATTGCAGATTAATTTTATTTAACCTAAAATACAGGTAGTAAACTGATTTAACATTTGCTAACAAAAAATTTTTAATCATCCAGAAGATAATACAGTTAAATATATAAGTAACAGCATTAAATAAGCAAGCTGTTATATAATATTCAAGATTTCAGGTGGACTTATTCACATGTCAAAATAAATGTCATCAATTTATATAATACTAAGATTATCTAATTTAGAATGAGATTACCCAATTTTAGTGCAAGTAATATTTTTGTACTATTCGTGAATTCTAATTTTGTTAAGTACATCTATTAGCAAAATGCAGCAAATGTACATACTTACGGCACATCTCCCACCTCAGGAGATATTAACATATATTCTCTTGGAAAAACTGGTTTTAAAAATAATTGCAAAATTTAGTGACAGTTATAACCATAATACAGACTAGATTTAAGTAATTTTATGTCCCATGCAACTGTTAAAAATTTTGACTAAAAACAGAAATCTGGACTCTACATGGGGCTTAATTTAATCTTGCTAACACTTTCCCCCCATATAAATATATATTTATGATTTACTCCTCTTTCCATACAAGCTGCTGGTAATGGTAACATTTTGCTATTGGCTCATTCATTATTGACATTTTTACTATAAGTTCTAATATTTTACTTTTATTTATTTTTATTTTATTTTTTATTTTTACTATAATTTATAATTTTCTTGAAACATTTTACTTCACAAAAAATTTGTTTTGTTTGAAAATCAAAATTCTACAAAATATCTGGCATGCAAAAGTACACTTTAGATGACTTTAGATGACACAATTATGAATTATTATGTAATCTGAGAAAACAGTTTCATAAACTAAAAAGAGATAATTTTACATCTGCCCCTTGGTGATATTTACTCAAACCACTGACTGTATTTTCAAGTATTAATTCTGAATGTAAAACTAAATTAACAATTTTCTTCCAACACGAATAAACAGTAGCACAGCAATTACTTAGATTAAGATATTTGTGTGATATAGAATGAGATATTTTACTTCATTTCCATTAGATACAAAACTATAATATTAAATTCTAGAACATAAAATTATTCTGCCAAACTATATGACCATTTCTAAAAGTTTACTCCCAATTTCTATAGCATCACTTTAGAAAACAGTGGTCTAAAAGATGGCTGTTATAAGTTTGCAGGTAAGAGAAATACATAGGCTTTAGTGAAAAGAAAAAAAAAAAGGCAAAGACAGAGTTGGAAGGGCTAACTAATGATTCACACAGGACACCATATTTACATAGCCATGACATTCTAATTAAGTAATGGTAATGACAAACAATGATAATAAAGGCATGTCAAAACATACATTATATGTATACTACACACGGAGCATGACATGTTTTTGTATGTTATGATTTAATTCTCACAGGCACCCTATGAAGTAGGTAGCATTATTTTTAATTTCCATTTCACAGATGAAAAAACAAAGGCTGTTCTTTTCAGAGCCTATGCTTCTAACTGCAGTATTATTATTATTGTTATTATTAGAGATGGGGGTCTTGCTATGTTGCCCAGGCTGGACTTGAACTCCTGGGTCAAGCAATCCTCCTGCCTCAGAGTCTTGAGTATGGTGGGATTACAGGCAAGTACCACTATGCCTGGCTTACACTGTTTTTTGACCCAAAGTTTCCAATAGTCATTAATAGAAAATACACAGATGGGTAGTACAGATGGCATTACGGCTTAGGGATATAAGAAAATTCAAGCACTTCGGCCTTTCATGTGCTCCATAAATAGTAATAACAAAACCAAATTAATATGTGAAATAGGCAAATAAAATCCTTGCATTATAAAATGTAAAGGCCAGTTGAGACGAGTGATCTATTCTTCAAAGATTTAAAAATACATACTTAAAAAAAATACAGATGAGATTCTATTTAAAAATAATGAGCTAAATGAGGCAGCTATGATTATTCCAAGACCTGGTATTTTCAGTATTGCTGATAATGTTTGAAAGATTAAGAGTAATTATGTCATGGATCATAGGATTTTAATGGGAAGGTACTGGTCAAAATGTCAAAGAAATTCTATAAATTATTATGATAAAGATAAAACTAGCCCCTGAAACTAACTGAAGGAAACTAACATCTGAAAAGGAAACAGAAACATTCTGGTTATAAATTATTTCACCCAAGCCCATGCCATCACCACTGCAACATCAAGCACCAGTTTGGGCAAGAAGGCAAAAAATTATAAAGCATTTCAAAGAAATGATAAACACATTCAACATCAACTTCTTTCCCCAATGTTTAAAACCAATTTCTGGATCTTAGCAAGCAAGTTTTGAGGGTGTAAAATGTGCTTTTGTATTTGGATATATCAATTATTTGACTGCACGGTGGAGAGGAATATAAAATTTAACTCCTGACCTTGTTACTAGCTATTTCGAATAAATTTTTATGTCTATAATCACAAACGTATTAGTTAGACTTTCAAATGTACGTAGCAATTCATTAATAACCTGCACTGCTGCCCAGTACCACATGTCACACACAATTTTCTCATTTCCAGTGGGAATAATGAAGCAGCTCTCAATGATGAGGTCAAGCTAAAGTAAGAAAAAGGAAAACATGCAGCATTAAAACAGAAAAGCAGACTTCTTCAGTCATAGTTCAGGGCTTCCAGAGAAGAAAAACAGCTGAAAGTTATTATTCATGAAAGACTCTGTGCAAAATGAGGACATAAATAAAATACTAATTTATTCTCTTTTCTGGGTTAAATAAACAGCTCTGGCTGTGGGTGACTTGTTTGAGATTCCCTGCAATTCAAATAATGAATTCACATTTATTGAGCATCTACTATACACACCTCAATAAAAAATTGTCTCAATTTTGCATGTTCTACCTAATGGAGAGTCAAGCTTTACATAACATATCTACCAAGAAACTGCATAGCACTACATATAAATGTTCTACTATTTCAATATAAAGAACCCTTGTCTGTAGTACTACGGAGATAATTCATATTTACTAAAATCACTATTTTTTAATTTGCATGCACACCTTACAAGCCACTGAAAAAATACACACACACACACACACGTATACATGCACCCCTAAGGAGTGACCATCTCCCTGTTCTGCTATGACATGTTACAGAAGTTATGTGGCTGAAGAAAATTAATACATTATGGTCCCTGAGACAGGCATCTATCTTACTCACAGGAATCTACCTCTAAGGGTAAAGCAAAAGATGATCACATGATATAATGGAAAGAACATGAACATTTTATAGTATTGTTAGGATTGGGGCTGGCTCCATGCATGTATGATTCATGCAACTTCTTGGAAAGCTTGGTTTAATGATCTGCTGTTACCAGTTTGAAATTCTTACTAATTTCTTCGAAGGGGCCCTGCATCTTTCTTTTGCACTGGGCTCTGCAAATTATGTAGCCAATCCTAAATAATTATGGCTTTGAGTTACGATTTCACTGTGTAATATGTGTAAACTAAATCTGAGCCTTAGCTTCTTCATCTCTAATAAAGGAATAATACCCAATTTACAGGGTTGGTATTACAGGGAGTATTAGATGAGATACCATACATACGTGAAAGTGATAAGCACTGAGCATGCATATAGGCATGCAAAAGAGATGTGAAATGAAATGGAGATGGAACAGTTTTTATTTTTACTTTTAAGGATCCGAGACACACAGAAATTTACATATCATTAGAAACTACTATATAATTTGATGTAGTTGAAATTTAAACTTTAGGCTGGGCGCAATGGCTCATATCTGTAATCCCAGCACTTTGGGAGGCAGAGGCAAGCTCAGGAGTTCAAGGGGAGTCTGGCCAACATGGTGAAACCCTGTCTATAAAAAATACAAAAACTTAGCTGGGCTTGGTAGAATGTGTCTGTGGTACCTGCTACTAGGGAGGCTGAGGTGGGAGGATCACTTGAGCCCAGGGGGCAGAGTTTGCAGTGAGCCAAGATCACTGCACTCTGGCATGGGTGAAAGAGTGAGACTCTGTCTCAAAAAACAAACAAACAAAAAAACTTTAATACTTACAACCCATATATCTGTGGTGCAATTTCTAGTCTGTTCAAGTGCATGTAAAGCTCAATATCATGCTTCTTCAGTAGATGATCCTGGATCTGGTTGACTTTAGTGACAATAGCAACTGTTGGCCCTAAATCTTGTGGTCTAGCAAAGGGAATGGGAGTCATCAGTGTTTCTTTCCCCTAAAAACAGAAAAATTGAACATGTATTATTTAAATATGAAAGTAATAAATATATGGATGTCATTCTTTATCAACAACAGTTTAAACAAGAAGTCTTATTATCTGCCTACTACTCATTCTTTAAAAAAGGTGAAAGCACCATGCAATAATTATAATAGGAAGATGAAAAAGGGATTCACTAGAAATACTTTTTAGGAATATATTATTCATTCATATATGTGAGTAATTAAGATGACTGTTCAAAAGTCACATCTATTATGTTCCTTGATAAAATGAATGTCTTTGTTTTGCCTAAGCCACTTTTATAAAGCTGACTCAGTAATATCAGTACAAGTAGGTAAAATCAAGAACTGATAACCCTCACAGTTTAGTCACTGAGTTTCTCAACTGGCGTGACTCAGTTATAAAACACAAAATGGCCACTATAAGAAATGACCAATATTTAAATGTGTTCAAATACTCTGCTCAAAATTTTGATGTTCATGTAAGTCTATGACTTCATTACATAACTTGCCAAGAACAAAAGGTTATTATTCCAAAAATATAAAGTAGTTTGCCAAATATGCTTACAGTAGCTTTTTACCTTCAACAACCCTTTCAGAATATAACATGTTGGTATATGAAGAAACACTTTATCACCTAGTGTAGGGGTCAACAAACTTTCCCTGTAAAGAGCCAGAGAGTAAATATTTTAGGCTTTACAAGTCATACAGTCTGTGCTGCAACTCTGCCACTGTAAGGACCATGCAGCCACAGACAATAAGTAAACAAATAGGAATGACAGTGTTCCAAAACATTTTATTTAAGGGCATGGAAGCTTAAATTTCATATTCTTTTCACATGTTCCAAAATACTGTTCTTCTTTTGACAGTTTTCGAACCATTTAAAAATGTGAAAACCATTCTTAACTCATAAGATGTATAAAAACAGATGGCAGGCCAAATTTGACCTACAGGCAGTAGGATGCCAACCTCTGAGCTGGCCAAAGGCATGAAAAACATCGATTACCTATTTCATTTTTTAAGAGATGGAATGAAGTGACTGAGTAATAATGGTTTCTAACCAGAATGCAATCAATTATACCAATATAAAGGAAATAAACCATACTGGAAACAATATGCCAAATTCTTTAACAGTATCCATTGCCAGAAGAATTTGTGACTTTTCCAATATTGTATAATATAATGAGACAACCATAATGATCACTAAGATAGCAGAAGGGTTAGTTTAGAAATATAGTTAACTCAGCAATTCCACTTGTAGGTATATAACAAGGTAAGTGAACACATGTTCATACAAAGCTTGTATATAAATGTTCAAAGTTATTCACAATAGCCAAAAGTGAAAATAACCGAAATGTCCATCGACTGATGTATGGATAAACAAAATATGGTATATCTATATAATGCAATATTATTCAGGCATAAAAAGAAATACTGGTACATGCCACAATATGAATGAACACTGAAAACATTATGCTAAGTGAAAGGAGTCAATCACAAATGGCAGTATATGATTCCACTTATATGAAATATCCAGAATCAGCAAGTCCATAGAGACAGAAAGTATATTAGTGATGTCAGGGCATGTAGGAATAGGGAAATGGAGAGTGACTGTTAATGGACATGCAGGATTTTTTTAGGTGATTAAAAAAAGTTTTGGAATTAGATAGCAGTGATGTTTGCCCAATCCTGTAAATATACTAAAAACCATTAAGAGTTTAATAGGTACATGTTGTGCTATGTGAATTATATAAAAATTAAAAATATAGTTAAAAATAAGAATAAGAGTAAGAGTAAGGAATATTGATGCTAAATGTATGAATTCAATAGCAATGCAGTGGTAAAAGCAAAACAACCTATTTGATATAGGTTTTACCTATGCACTTCAGTAATAATGTGTATACCAACTCACTAGGGTAGCAAGAGAAAGATTATAATAATTTTGTAACTAAGCACTTATTATGCTGCTTGATTCATACACACACATATAAAAATGTATTTATATGAAATTTTCACATTGCCTTTGTGTATCTGCCAATATGATTAGAAATATACTTAAATCCCCAGGCTCAATCTTATTCCATAGGTAATTTCATTTTGGTTATAGCAATAATAAGGGCTATCTACTATTCTTTGGTTACATGTTGTTATTTATTTAAAGCATTTGCTCCATCGCATACACTGAAAAGATCTGTACTATAAGATTTACCTTCTGACCATCATGCTCAAAAGTTGAAAACCAAGGTTCAGCAGTTTCCATAAGTTGTGAGAATACTGCACTAAAAATAAAACAAAATAACACAATGCTAGGTTTAACTTTCATTAAAATAATCACGGTATAAAAAAATAAAACAAAGAAAGTTTTTGTACTTACTAGGCATCATGTTCCAGATACTCAGGGTTCAAGAGAGTTTTCATTTCCTCACTTAAAAAAGCAATACAAGCAATCAAAATGTGTAATTTTTGAATAATTAAAGATGCAGAGTTTGCCTTATTCTATGTAAGACAACTTTCACATAATGTGTAAATGAAAAAAATTAGTCTTTTTTTTTTATGAAAAGAGCAACGCCATTAATAAATGGCATGCTTTCTATAAAGATCAAAAACAAATCAGCTGCCTTGTCTATGCCACAATGAACTACCTAATTATTCAAATAAATATAGAATGTGACAATATAGTTACTGGTCAAATATGCAATATCAAAACATTGATTTATTTTCTTTAACTGGATTTATTTTCGTTTTAACATCAATTTATCAGTGACAACACCTCTTAAGCATTTATTTTATTTTTTAACAGATTGAATCAGCTGAAGAAGCATGTCCAACACATTTAAAAGCTATTTTCAATCACCTATCTTTTCTTGTAAATTATATTCTACATGCACATTTTTTAAAGAGTTGCTGTCTGAAGAATACATTCACATGTTAAAAAAAAAAAACTGGCAGGTGAGGCACGGTGGCTCACACCTGTAATCCCAATGATTTGGGACGCTGAGGCGGGCGGATCATTAGGTCAAGATATCAAGACCATCCTGGCCAAGATGGTGAAACCCCATCTCTACTAAAAATACAAAAACTAGCTGGGCGAGGTGGTGCCTGCCTGTAGTCCCAGCTACTCAGGAGTCTGAGGCAGGAGAATCGCTTAGACCTGGGAGGCGGAGATTGCAGTGAGCTGAGATAGCGCTGCTGTACTCCAGCACAGCTACAGAGCGAGACTCCGTCTCAAAAAAAAAGGCATTAAAACAGGATCCTAATGCTAACTTCATGATTACATTTTAGAATAACTGAAGTGAAAGCAAGTTAGATATGGTTATACTCTTGTCAAGATAAAAATAAAAACTCAGTAAAATTAGCAAAGCTTCAAGGAAACTTGAAAATACTAATCTATAAACTAGTAGACAAAAGTTAATTTAACAAAAGCCTGAATATATGCTCAGCAAAATGTATGGCTATATTTGATTAATAAAGATCTTATAATCAGATATGTGAAATGTTATCTGTGAGTTTTCCATTTACTGCGTATAGATGGGCTGACCTGATGAATCCTCCTGGACACAAGCTGACAGTACTAGACCCCTCCATTTCCAAAATTATTTTCTGAAGGCCCCAAAGTTAGGGTATCTTAAGTTAGAAAATTGAATTCTAACACTTAGCCTAAGTTGAATCCAATTACAAAAGTTATATGCAGGAAAGAATAAATGAATATATCTAAAAAATTTGAGAAGCAATTTTGCTTATTTACAGAGGGAGGTTCTTTGTGGCTCTGCTCCCTTACTTATTAAGCTAAGTCAAACCTGATGAGGAGAGATAATCTCATATATAAAGTCTTATTCAGCTTGGAGTGAAAAAGGGATCATTAGAGGATGATATATATGGATATCAATTATTAGAACTTCTGTGATTACAACAAAAATGTTCCATTCTTGATCCATTAGTTACATGTCTTCCTTTAGATTGAGAATCAAGATTTCCAAAGACATTTATGATTCCAAATTTGCCCTACAGCTAAACTGTCCTAACAACTATTAAGTAGAATTAACAATTAACCACAAGAAACACAATCAAATGTTTACAACTTATACAACTTGTAAGTACCTTCCATTTAAAAGATTTTGAGGTTTCAAAAACAAAGGTTACAGTGGGGACTAAAAAACAGATGGAGCTCATATTTAAAAAAACAACAACTTGCCTGGGCTGTGCAGACTCACTGGCATGTAGAAAAGCTTGGTGGTCACAGTGAAGGACAAAGACTATAGGTGCTAACAGCTCGTGCATACCCTGAAATGAAAGAGCCAGACAAATGAAAGAGATGGATACTCAGGGTCCATTAGTGGACAGCATAAACTCAGTTAAATACTTCTTCAAACCAATTCCCACTAGCAAAATTTCTGTATAATATAGAAACACGTAAATATGGAAAGCTACAAGATAAGATTTTTATCTACTTTTAGAATTTGATTCTAATTCAACCACCGCAGGTATTCTTCTTTAAAACATGGAGAGCAGTTCTCTTTTAAATGACATGACAAACAATAAATTGGCATGGTAGATAACCTTGCACCTGTCAGTTGCTTCAAGATCTGTACTCATAAATATGAATTTCATTTATGCAAATTATAATCATGCGCTACAGTGTTAAGATCTGCAGTAAGAAGGGCAACTAAGAACTGTAGACCTAAGGAAATTATATCCAATGTTTTCATTATATAATGGCTCAAAATTAGGATGTCTGTAGATTTAGGAAGCACTGAAGTCAGCCAGCTAGAAATGTTGGATAATAAAAAAAACAACCTTAAGAAGGTATGACAGAAAATAAACTTGTTAAAATAGGATTTAACATGTTTAATCAGAAAACTACCATAATTTTTTCCTGTCTACTTCAACTATAAGGTTAATTTCAATTTATTTAATGATCTCACCAATACGATTTTCCTCCTTATATTGGTTTTCACCAAAAATAGGTATAGAAACAAAAAGGCATAATAGTTACTAAGCTGTCCTTAAAAGGGTACTATAAAAATCTATTACTGATCCATTATTCTGGTGACATACGGTATTCCACATTATGACTACCTTTGCTAATTGAGATTTCTTTCCCCCTTAAGCATCAAAAAACATTTCAGCAAGTTAAAATAGATTATTATTTTTCCTGTCTCTTAAAGCGAGCAAATTACTACTTTCCTTTTGCTTAGTAACTAGGGATGCTCTTTTATAAAAAGACAAGACAAAATACTACTTTTAGAGGAAATATGAAAGAAGAAAGGAGATAAATCTTTTGCTAGTAGAATTAGAGATGGCTTCATATATTGGATGAACAGAGTCACATAGTCCTCTGCACAGTCTAGTAGTAGTATACTATTCTTAGAAAGCCAATTGTTATCATAAAGATAATATGCAAGTTAACTTTTTCAGACTTCATATATAAGTTATCACTACTTTGAATTAAAAATATTTAGTTATATTTTTACAAAACAATTTATGATGCATTGACAATTTACTTGTGATTTAGGACGAATTACCACGTATCATTTCAATCTTTATAGGTAACCAACTCCTTATTAAACAAACCTTGAAAAAAATCTTTCAGATAACATGTTAGACACCTAGAAAAATGACATTGAGCATTACCAACTCTGCTTTAAAAATCATGAGGGGTTTATTCTCTTGGAATGGTCTCAAGTTACTCCAAAAAGAAAGTGCTGTAATTTTAATCATTAAAATAATAAGTATTATATCAATAGAAAAGTATGGAAAAGCAAAAACAAAAATTAAAAAAATGATAAAGGGAGGGAGGCCAGCCAAAAAACAAAACTTAAGAAATAAATTTAAAACTTCAGTAGATATCCTTGAGATCTTTTTTTGCCTATTTCTCATGATTTCTCCAGAATTAAAGTCCTTGGAAGTAGAATTTCAGGGTAAAGGGGTAAAAATATGTGTTAACATCTGGTAGGATGTATACCATTAAGCTGTCTCCAGAAAGAATTCTCTCAGTGAAGAATATAAAAATCACTCTCTCACACATCCTCACCTATATTCAGAGTGTTTTTAAAAATTTTGTCAACTTTCACAGTTAAATTGTTATAGTTTATTTAAGTGCTAGCAAGATTGAACCCCAAAATTTTATTGAACGTTTTTACTTAATAAATTGCCCTTTTTCTCCTGATGAAGTGTTTCCTTTCCTTGGTGATGTCTAATAGTTCTATACCAATTAAAGATATTAACCCTTTCTAATTGTTGTTACAAACATTTTACCATGCTTATCATTAGTCTTACTTTTGATTTCTATGATATATTATACTGACATTATACACTTTGGTCAATACAATAAATAATTCTTCATGGTTTCTATTTTGCCTTCATGTCTATAAGACCTTCCTCATGTTGAGATTAGGGAAGAATACAGTTGCCTTTTTTTTCCCCCCAGTTAATTCTTCGCTCAACTGATATAAGTTTAGTTTTTGCCATAAAAATAAGTATGTTTTTCTCCAAAAGAATTATACCAATTTACTGATTAATCATTTCATCTTCAATAAATTCAATCTACTTGATAAGTTGAATAACTCATCTTCTCCCCAGAGTTCTGAAATGCCATATTTAGTAAAAAATAAATATTTAGCTTACATTTTTTCCAGGATTTTACTCTAGTACATTGGTTTGTATATTATTAACAATAATTGTACCATTATAAAGATTCAACCTTTAAAATATTAGAATATTTCCTATTTTCTACTCCTTTTCTTTTTTCAAACTTATCTTGATGATTCTTTTTTATTACAGGTTGTGTCATACCATTTAGGTTAAACAAAATGGTAAACAAAACATTAAAATTTTTATTGGCATTGCATTGAAATTAACTTGAGGAGAGTATTTTTAAGAACATCAGATTTTCTAATCCAAAAATCTGCAGAACTGTGTAGTGCTTGCTAGGTTTATCATGAAGTTTTCTTTCTTTGCTGTCAGTGGGATACCTTTTTGAAATAAAGAGTGCTTTTCCCCCAAAATATATTTTAAAACAAGTTATGGCTAGTTTAATAAGAAAGACTTCTTGTCTAAATGAATCTTCCCAACTTCAAATATTCTCTTCCCTCTAGTTTCTGTGACACCACTCTGTCTAGATTCTCCATTTGTTCAAACATAATTCATCATTCACCTATTGCAAAAACTATTAAATGCCTGTATTTGCTGTGGACACAAAAGTGAATGAAGTGGGCAAGTTCCTAACATTGATGGAGCTTGTAGTCTAGAGAGAAAGGAACAAAATTATAAAATAAGCACAGAAATGACTATACAGTAGTCCTCCATTATGTGCAGGAGATATATTCTAAGACCTTACAGTAGATGCCTAAAACTGTAAATAGTACTGAAAACTACATATACCATGCTGTTTTTATATATACATGTGTATGACAAAGGTATTAAAATTATGATTTAAATTAAAGATTATAAATTAGGCACACCAAGATTAACAACAATTAATAAAAATAGAACAACTGTAACAATATAGTGTAACAATATTATGTGATTGTGGTCTCTCTCTCAAAATATTTTATTATACTGTACTCAACTGTTTTTGGATGATGGCTGGCTGCAGGTAACTGAAACCACAGAAAGTGAAACTGCAGGAAAGCGTGAACTACTGTACTGTACTGTAGGTAAGAATGGACACTGTACAACTGTGATTTTGTGTGTGTGTGTGTGTGTGTGTGTGTGTGTGTATACACATCCAGATCCTACCACAGGCCCAGCACAAAGAAAGTAATCACTACCTATTGACTGAATGAATGCAATATCTACCACTTAATATATCCACATAGTGAAAAAAGCTGAACTACAATATGAAAAAAAGAATAGCATTAAATCATATTTCAAATCAATAAATAAAGGTGTTCTTGGCAGAATGGAAGTTAAGAGTCTTTTGAATACCATTAAAAACTATTTTACAAGTTCAGTTTTGACTTTCATCTAAAGTAGGGATTTTTTTTTTTCAAATACTTAAAAGACATTTATATGAATTCAAGACTAGTAAAACCTGTTTAACAATTACAAATGGCAATTACATAGACATCTTTAAAAGAAAAGAGAAATACCAGAAATAATAATCATGAATTCAATATGCTTTAAATTTGACAAAGCATAATAAAAAATAATGTATTGACAGTATGCTTCTGGTTCCCAAAATGTGTATTTTGCTTCCACCTATATTGTCAGCATTTCTGCCTGCTTAAAAGCTTTTATCCCTGCTGGATTGTTAGTAGTCACTGCACTCCAAACTCATGCCAGTTGAAAATAAAGGTAACAAAGTTTTCTTCATCAACAGCCTGTAGGTTCACAAAATTGAACCTGTTCTTTTATCTGCCTGTGTTCATTTAGCCCACCAAGCAAGTCTTTATTAAAGCTAAGGCATCAGGCAGTCAAAGTTCATTAATACCATTTATATAATCTCGGCAATTTCAATTAACTCAGCAAGACATTCTACTACATGATAACAGTCTCATTAATTCAATAAAATCCCATAACTATTAACAATATGGTCGATGTTAAACGGGGTGTCACCTAGTACAAAATAATAGCTTTAACAGCTTGTGATGAAACTTAAGGTTCTTTTCTTAAATTTGATCTGGCTAAATATTCAGTCCTTCTACAGCAAGGTATTATTTTTCTGTAAAAAATCTATAGGATTTTAAACACATACAAGGAGTAATTAAATATTTTAAAATGACACCCAGGAGTAAGTTCATAATACTTTCTTATTCAGTAACTGATAGATTTTTGTCTTAATGGATCAAGAACATATCTTCCATATGACTGTGTAGTCTTCCATACAAACGCAGTGGGTCACATACATCACAAATGGTAGATGGAGTGTACAGTTATTATGTTTTTATTCCTTGTCCATAGAACTCGTTTCCATTATTGTAAGACTCCTTAATCTATTTTTTCTTTCTCTAAAAAAATTGGAAAACAGACGAGTAATTTGGAATAATTTTATCCTGATTTGATTCACTATCATCAAGTCTTTTACTGTGGGGTATTTTCAAGTATTTAAAGGAAAAGAGGAAATAACAAAGAGATAAGGTTCACAACAAAAGCCAATATAATGAAAAGAGAGCAGAAAAACAAAATCCTGGAATTTTTGATAGAGATTTTAAGCTAATGAACTAATGCAGCAGAACCATTTACTCCCACACTTCACGTGAAGCGTGTTAACAATCTCCTTACAGTTTAAAGTCATTTTAAATGGGGTCTTCTGCTATTTGCTTCCAAAAGAATTCTACACTAACAGTTTTTTTTCCCCCAGTCTCCTTTTTGGTTTGTTTTTAGTCTTTTGACTTTTTATCTGACTTGTAGATGAGCCTACCTTGCTTGCGAGTCCCTTTCCTAGTCTGAGATTACAAAAAAATTTATCCCAAATCTTCTTCTAGTATTTTTATACACTTTTAGTTTTTATATTTATGTTTTTACACCATCTGGAATTTATTCTCCAAAAAATGTATAATTTAATGGTTTTTCCAGATGGAAAGCTAAATATAGCAAGACAATATCCTTTTCTCTATTTTACTATATTCAGATCCCATATAAACTGAACCTGTTTCTAAACTGTTTCACTGAACAATGATCAATCCACATAATACTGTCACATTAGTTTGATCACAGAACCTTTATAGAAGTTTTAATATCTACATTTGCCATTCTCCCTTTCCCACAAATTCTATGGTAATTCCAACACATTTAATAATTATTATAATGATGATGATAATAAAAACAACCACAACTACCAACATGAACCTTTGCTTGGCACCAAATGTTAACTCTATAAAGTAATTACTATTATTACCCTCATCTGACAGATACAAAACTAAAGATTAAAAAAGTTAAGTAAATTGTCTAAGATTGTGAAGTTAGTAAATGAGAGAGCTGAGATTCAAACAAAGGAATTTGAGTCTACACTCAGTGCTTTTAATCCCTAAATTGTATTATCTCTGTTAAAATAAGTGTAACGTTTTTAGGCACTAAATTGAAAATAATTGTATCCAGTTTTTTAAAAAAACACGTTATCTTACTCAGGTTATCACTGGAATGATAATTCATTTAAACATAAAGAAGCAGTATTTTTACTTAGTCTTCTCATCCAAAAACATGCTATTTTTCTATTTATTTGATTCTTACTTTACATCCTTGAAAAACTTATTTATTTATTTATTTATTTATTTATTTATTTATTTATTTATTGAGACAGGATTTCACTCTTTCGCCCAGGCTAGAGTGCAGTGAATCAATCACAGCTCACTGCAGCCTGAAACTCCTGGTCTCAAGGAATCCTCCCACCTCAGTCTCCCAAGTAGCTGAGACTATACGTGTGCACCACCATGACCAGCTAATTTTGTGGGTTTTTTTTGTAAAGACGGGGTTTCGACATGTTGCCCAGCCTGGTCTCAAACTCCTGGGCTCAGCCAATAACCCTGCCTCAGTCTTAGTGCTGGGATTATAGGTGTAAGCCACTGCACCTGGCCTATAGTTTTCTTAATATATTTTTTGTATCTTTACTGTTAATTTTTTTCTAGACATGTTATAGCTTTTGGTTGCCCTTATAAATGCAATTTATTTTTCATTTCCAATTCTAGTAAGCTATTGTCAGCAGGTAATTAATACAGAAAAATATTACTACTGTTAAAAATAAGATAAAATTAGTTCCCTTGGATATTCTATGTATATACAATAATTAAAAATGTATGATTTAGTATATTTGTAGTCTGACATGTTTTACCATCCTTAAATCTAGTTTATTTCAAATTAAATACATTGCTTTTACCGTAAGTGTTTTCTATTATATTAAATTTAAGTTCAGTGGTCCTGAATTAGATATACATTATAACTTTTGATTATTAGAGATTTTAAGAATTTAGCTTGAATTCTCACTTCATTTGCATTTGGAGAAATACATAAAAATATCCAACTGTATTTTTATTAGAACACTATAAACTTAAATAAAAAATGTAAATACATCTGTATATATTAAATAACTTACATTTCAATAAAATAAAACAACCCAATAATTTTCTTTGCTTTAGTAATGAGATGAGTCAAATAACAGGGTAACAAAGGAACTAAATACACATTTCAAAAAATTTAAAGAAACATTCTGAAGTTCTGTTACTGATAAGTTTTAAAGAGTAATAGGATACACGATTTTTTTTACATGACATGTCATATATTTATAAATGCTATACTGAAAAATAATATTTGTACATACAACTCTGAAATTTTATTACTAGATTGCCTTCAAAGATGCTGTTTATAAACAAACTCCCAAAAGTTGAAAGAAAAGACTGAACACCTTAAAGGAGACAATTTGGTGGAATGTCTTATAATGAGGAAGAAGCATATGTGCTTCAATGAGCTTACCTTTCTCACCATGCAGCTGACAAGCAGCTCTCTGATTGCTTTAGCATTATGATACAACTTTGGATACAATAAAGGCTACATTATTGCTCTATCATTTGTCAAGCTGTATAGAAAATTTTGAGTCAATGGATGCCACCTGTAAGATATTTTCATTACCTGTTTATAAAGCAACTGCTCGTTTTCTCTGGCATAACAGAAAAGAACATCTGTAAGAATTTTTCTCACATTTTCTTGTTGGAAAAACTGCATTTCAGGAAACCTGGAAAAGGAAAATACAAGATTGAAACTGACTAACACAGTTTCAAGAATCATTCTCAAATTCTAATCTCGAAGACGTGGCAAGGGCAGCTTCAGATTTTAGAACAAGCCTGTGTTTGCCATGCAACTTATGCCTTTGGTGGGGAATGAAAAAGGGGTGAGGCAAGGGGAAATAATTATATCCCAGAGGTAAATGACATCCTTCAACATATTCACATTTCAAAATTTTACACATGCTTCATATACTTCATACATGTGTGAATATGATAGTTTTTGAATTATATTGTACCTATCTGCAGATGGGGATTTGCTTTGTTTTAGCCCATTGGTTTTTAGGATAAGAATGTGATTTTGTAAAAGTACTAATTTTTTTCAAAAAAAGATTGTCATTCTTTTTTCTTGATGTAAAATATTGACACTTCAGTTATTACATATAACCAAACTATCAGCTTTTCATCTGATTAAAATATAGACTTCTAAATATTTCTTTATAATGCATTAAAACACCACAACTGCAAGAACCCAGAGAAAACCCACAGCAACACAATACACAATCAATGTATAAGGGCTGAGGGAATGTCATCTAGTAGTAGTAGTCAACTGGGTTTAATCACAGAGTTTGAATGATAATTTTTAGGAGAGGAGGAACATGGATCATCAGTGGAAAAGGTAATCAAAACAGAAAGAAAGATATGAAGGCACAGGAGGCAATGGGTATTTCAAGAGTGCAGCATAACATGGTAATTATTAATCAGAAGGAAAAGACAATTCCATGAAATACTGCCTGCTGGGAGCAGGACAGTGGGATAGAAGAAAAGGTGGAGCAAGGCTGGAAAAAACTTTGAATGCTGAATTTCCAACTATGGAAACACAGCACAGTAAATCTATATTTGTGAATAAAGAAGTGATAAAGAAAACAGTATTTTAATTTAACTCTATGGAGGAATAAACCTGAAAGAGTAGCATAGGAAGGACATAAGAGTACATTATAATAAAGTGAAATTTAAAAGTCCTAAACCCAAGTAGAAAAGGCTGTGTTCAAATTCATGTTGCATAATTTCTGGTTATGAAACCCTGAGTGAATGATTGCTTAAATGCCTCATCTATTAAGAAGGGATAACAATACTGATCTTATGATCAAGATGCAATCATATGAGAGCACCAAGAACAGTGCCTGACAAGTAGTAGATATTCAGGAATGGAAGCCATTATTATAATAGTATTTGAGTAATGATACTTTAGATAATGAGATTGCAAATCAGGTGGCTTTGGAACTAAAAATTGAGAGAAAACGTGAGAGAGTAGAGAGGAAGATGACCTAGAGCATGAAGGCATACAGCATTACTGAAACAGAAAAATATTCCTTAATGAGTCTTTTAAGAGCAATAGTGGCTGTTTTACATCATATTATAATGGTTTACTGCCTCCCATTTCTGGAGACCTCCGCTATTTTATGCTTCACTCTGCTACTTTGTTGGTGCCTTGGACAGTTATAACTTTCTAGTCCAAGCTAGGTTTTCGGTGAATTATGCTAGAAATCTGTGAAGCATCTTTTTTTCTGGTCCTAATTTTTTAAATACATTAAGGCCCATTTTACCTTCATCTGTTCATTTGACTTTTGCTTACAACTCCGTTCTGCAACTGCCCACACAGGTTTTGTTTGGTTTTTGTTTTTGTTGTTTGTTTGTTTTGTTTTGTTTTGCCTTTTCTGTGGCAGCAAGGAAGCCTCTTTTTGGGGGGCCAGTAAACAACCTAAGGATCTGAGCAAGCTTGCTTCACATATTTGCATAAAGCTTAATGTGATGATCTCCCTATCCAGGCATCACAGTTCAAATAGGGGTGGCATAATTAACTTCTAAAGAAGAGAAAAATTAACCTGAAGAGTAAGCATATGTCAGAGAGGCCAAAGAAACTGCAGAATAATGTCAAATGCACTGAAGTAGGAAAGAAACACAAAAACTTTTAAAATGACATTTTGGAACAAAATAAAGTTGCTAAAGCCTTTAAAAATCAAATATCCCAAATTAAAGTAATCAGGATAAAAGAGAAGTAGTTAATAAAACAACTTGGTATAGAGAAATTTCTTGGGAAACTTAGCCATTAAGTTAAGAACAGAATAATCCTTTTGAGAGGTGAAATTTTCTCTCCTTCTCATTATATAACATAAATTTAACTCTGTCTTTGAGTAGGCTTCATTCCCAAAAATCTGGATCACCTGACTTAATAACTTTGCATGTCCCCTTCCTCACCTATTCTTTGGAAATTTTCTACGCACATTGGCACAACCAAATTCTGTGTAGCCGTTACAATCTAAAATTGATTATGATAAAAGTACTAAAAACTGCTACATTAACTTTGCAAAGAGTATCCATAAACTATAATTTAATACCTAAAAACTAAAAATGTAAAGTATACTTGTTAAGTCAACTTTAGCCTGAAGCTGCCTCCTTACATATTTTAAGTTCAGCCTAAAAGTTTCTCTGTATATTGTGAACTGTAAACAAGTGGAGCTGTAAACAGACCGTAGCCTACATGTCTGCCAATCATCGAGTTTTGGCCAATCAAATGTAGCCAACTGTTCAACCCATGTTCAAATAAGGCAAACACCAACCTGTGACCAATCCAGCTGTTTCTGTACCTCACTTCTGTTATCTGTATGTCACTTTCCTTTTTCTGTCTATAAATCTTCCACCATGTGACTGTGCTGGCGTCTCTGAGCCTACTCTGACATGGAAGGCTGCCCGATTCACAAATCGTTCATTGCTCAATTAAACTTCATTAAATTTAATTCGGCTGAAGTTTTTCTTTTAACACACTATATACCAATACCTGGTTTCATTTAAATGCATACTAACCACTTTCAAGATTAAAAACTACAGATCTACAAGAATTCAATTGCAAGTAGTAATTTAAATTGCCTACTTTTAGCAAACATCAAATCAATTGAAAATGTGTATTATGCAGACATAGCATATCTATGCAACAGCACACCAACTATGATTCTGCTCTACAATGCTGAAGTGCTAATTTGTGAAGTTTCATGGCACTCTCTTTGTTAGAAAACTATAATTTGTTCATTAAATGATGAAGAATCCATTGCATCAAATAAGTAAGATAGAAAGATACAGAAAAGCTCTGAAAAAGAAGTAAAGTTTTCAAAACTATTTCAAAAGTTGGAAAAAGAACTGAAAATCAGAGTTTTGTGCTGAGTCTTTGGAAATTATCCAGTCCAACTCAGAGATTAACAGGCAAGTAAACAGAAGCACAGAGGAATAATACCTCTGCCAATGTATCTGGGTAGTTAACAGAACAGCAGCACTTTCCAATTGCTTCCCTAATTGGTTATAAATTAATCTGAGAAATGCATTTAGGTAAAACTCCATGACTTTAGAGTTACACATAAGAACCTAGCTCTGAAGGTTGATGAATATACCTAGATAATAACATATTTCCTACAAAAAATACTTGATGGTCACAGTATCAGGATTCAATCCAGAAGATGTTACATTTATAGGTATAAGAAATATGAGAGAAAAGTACAGTGACAGTGTATCTAGGAATAGTAATAATCTGTTTTTCATGATATGTTGTAAGTTTCAAAATAGCTTCCCTACCACTCATTAAACTTCTAGGTTTTATTTACCCCATGCTAGATGGTGTGGATTCAGCCTAGGTAACGTAATTTGAACATCATTGTAACCCAAGTATCATTGGAAAGGCAAATCTGTTTTTGAAACATAATTAAAAGCACAGAATACTAACAACACTAGATGCAACAATCATTCAGGTTTTGAAAAATCAACAATGACTCTACAGTTTCATGGAAATAAGAGAGAAATTTAGAATTAAAACTGTAGAGGTTCATAATTTATTCAAACCAAAATATCTGGTAGGAAAATAAAACAGAAAGGAAAAAAAAACACCCCACACTAAGTAGGAACTGGAAACAAATTTTATTATTAACAGAAAGTCTTTCTTTCTACATTTGTCCATAAAATAAAAATTGAGATGTAAAACAGGTGAGGGTAAAACTCTAAAAATAGAGATGAACAGCAAAGATTAAGTAGTCCATAATGGAATTTAGACTAAAATAGTTTTAAATCTTTACTTTAGGGTAAAAGTCATATTTCAGTTTAGACTCAACTGATCAGTATTTAAGTTTCTCTCTCAGATGTGTGAAGAAACTGTATTTAAACAAATTTTACACAGTACACAGTAATAATAAGAGCCATCACAAACATTGGGTGTGTAAGTTTGTTTTCTACCTTGAAATAAACCAAAATTGGTAGGCAACATAGGTTTCATTATAAGTTTTAAAAATCTTTCATTATGGAAAATTCAAACATTTATAAAGAAAAGACAACAGTAAACTGAACCCCAATCTACCCATCAGCTAGTTTCATGACTTATCATTTGTTTTACATATATTCCTCCCCAATATTGCATTATTTTGAAGCTAATCCCAGACATCATTATATCTATAAATACTGCAATGTGTATTTCTAAAAGACAAGCACTCTTTAAAAACATAACCATAGGCCAGGTGAAGGGGCTTACACCTATAATCCCAGCACTTTGAAAGGCCAAGGCGGGAGGATCACTTGAGCACTTGAGGAGTTTGAGAACAGCCTGGGCAACACAGTGAGACCCTGCCTTAAAAAAAAAATGTAAAAATAAATTAGCTGGGTATGTTGGCACACACCTGTAGTCCCAGCTACTTGGGAGGCTGAGGTGGGAGGATCGCTTGAGCCTCAGAGGTTAGAGGCTGCAGTGGGCCATGTTTGCACCACTGCACTTTGGCCTAGGCAAGAGAACAAGACCCTGTCTCAAAGAACAAAACAAACAAACAAACAAAAAAAGCAAAAAAAATCCCATAGTGCCATTGTAACATTACTAATAATAAAAATAATAATCTATTAATCAAATATCCACTAAATGTTCAAATTTCTGTGACTGTCCAAAAATTCTTAATACTTTGTTAAGAGCCAAGAAATATCTGTT